AATGCAATTATTTTGTATCACAAACATAAAAAATTAAATAAAAGTTTGTACTTTTCATTTCTCAGCCTATGCATAGAACAAAACTTGGTTACATTCAGATGAAATATTCTAGACAAGATGAAATATCATTTGTGGCTTCAACAAATTACTTAACATTTCAAAAGTCTTTGAGAAATAAAATCTATATTTCCTAGATTTATTAAGGAAAGCATTAAGAGCAACAAGCACACTTCATTTTTGTCTACTCCAAAAGAGGTAATTTGCGGAGTAATTTTTTATTTCTCAAATAAATTATTACTTCTTTTTAAAGCTGTGATAAAAGATTCTTAATTAAACTTACTTTGAGGGCTTATATGAGAAAGCCTCATTAATTAGCAAAAGCAAGTACATATCTGAAAAATTCAGAAAGTCTCTGATTTACTTTTTAATGATTGTTTAATAAAACATTAATATTTTAGCTTCTGTAAAGTATTTATACCTCTGATTTGTATTTTAGATGATTTTGCTATGTATTCTTCACATAAAACTGTTAACATGGAATTCCACTAGTATAGTGATTAAGAGAAAGAGGCAAAATATCAACTGTTAGAAGCTATGCATTTATCATATTTTATATAATGCTAATAAATTATAACATATTTTTAATTGGAGAATTAGTCAAGGCAATCCTTTGAAAAGTGGACTGGAACGAAACCCCAAGAGTTCCAGTAAGTAGTTCTTTCTTCTGATCCAATTGCTTTCTACAGAAATCTCCTAGCATATCTAAATTTAATACCTACACAATTTTGTTAGAGAAATTCTTGCAAACTCAAGTAACCTGGTAGATTGAGTCTATGATTATGGAATAAAAAACTAGAAATCCTTCCACTTGGTTATTCTTGCTTTAAAGCCTGTAAAAAGCCAGGGAGATAGTTTAGCAGCATGGTATCTACCTGGCAAGGGCAAGGTCCTGAGCTCGATTCTTGATACCAAACACCCTGTAAAAAAATAGCAAGACAAATTGTTTGGACAATGAGAAATTGTTAGCAAATAGAAGTGACTAAATAATAGTTGGGATACTACCAATTCTAATAATTAAAGTGTTTATTTTCATCTAGTTTGACTACGCATGTACATAACTATATTTTAAAAAATTTTTTGAATTCAGGCTACATCTATAAACCTGATTCTTAACCTGATGTAGTTATACAAGTGCCCAGAATATACTTTAAACAAACTGAAGGCACTATAAACTTTGCACATTAATTAATGAAATAAGAAAATGTTACTCTATGGTTGCACAATGCTCAGTCAAACTGAATCTAGTAGTTAGATTACCTTGTCAGGAATGCTCAGTCCAGGCAAGTTAAAGCACTTAAAGCTTAAAACTGGATGCAAAACACACATCTAAGTAAATAATTCTCTATCCATTGCATTTTAAAGACCAATATAGATCTTTAATAACATAACTTCAATATCAAACTATTTAATCCTATTATTTGTTTTCACTGTACAAAATGCTTAAAGCCTCTGAAGATTACATTTTAGACTCCAATATATAACATCATGTTAAATAATGTTCTTTTTTCCATAATTTTATTGAGAAATAAATAGCAATGAGACAGTTTCAAATCAAACTGGTAGGACAATTCCAATAAGTAACAGATTGCATACTGCCTTCCTGGTGGTTATTTGTTGTACAACATGCAGATATGATATCTTATTTACAAACACTATTAGAACAAATCATTCTATTCATTGCATTAGGAGAATGTAGCTATATATCTATCCTAACCATTTTGAATACACAGATACAAAATGGTCATTCATCTATATCCCTTTTTTCGTTTAGCTCCATCATTTAAATATTATAGGTGTGTGAATTCAGCAAAATATTCCAAAATAGTCCAGTAGTCCATAATAGTATTGGGTCTTCCATTTGACTGGCAGTGTCAGAAGTTGTTGACCTGAGTCCCCTACAGCTCACCATAACAACATGGCTTTATTTCTTGTACTTCATTTTTATATTTTTCTGCTGGATGGTTAACAACAAGATAAAGCAGGACCTATGTAACAAGAATTGTAGCTTTTGGATCTGTTAAGATCAGTCAGATCCCCTCAGGATTTATCCTGAAACCCTGTACCTCAGGTTGTAGATCCTTTGTCAGTGTCAGCCATGTAGATGAGTCATGGTCATTGCTTGGCCAATTTGTTCTCTGTGAAAGCCTGAAAGAATGTTTTCTCTCCAGGTGACTCTCTTTAGGCATACTCTACATCATGGATCACTTTCCTCTTTCCTCTCCTTAATCAGAAAATTTGGGACACAACTGAATTACATGATGTTACAGTACAAGTTCTCATATGTCTTGAGTCTTAATTGATGTTGGAAGGCTAGGGCCAAAATGTTGGCTTTCCTTGGGGCCCTTCTTTTTCTCTAATTTTGTTCTGCAAATTTAGGTTGTTAACCCTCCAGAAGACAAGCTTATTGTTATTACCATACAACCTAGGCTGTGGAGCTTGACCTCACTATCTGTCTGAATATCAAACATCTTTAGGCATAACATGGAACAGGTATTTTTCTTCAAGTATTGATATGTTAAACTTTAAGTCCCTACAGAATATGACAAAAAAATTTAAAAAATTAAAATATATTTAAAAAATAAGAATAAACAATTATATATATTTACACAGAAGTCCAGAAATCTAACCATATACAGCATTGTTGCAGGACAGTCCTGAAACACTCCTTTTCCTGTCTCCTGCCTTCACTCACCACCCGCTTCCTTTTTAAACAATCATCTACCCAAGAGACAGCATGGCGGCAAATAATGTTCTTTAAAAATTATTAATATCATTGCGTCTATTTACTATATTCAGAATTGATTTATCTTCTACAACTCTGAGGAGAGATAT